GAAAGACACGGGGACCAAAGCTCTGATGGAGCAAAAGTGTTTTTAATCAACATGGTGTGGGCATATATACTGTCTTACAAGGTGGTTATTCTCAGCAAAGACAAAGATTAAAATTCCAGACTTACAAAACATAAGATGATCCCTATCAAAGAGAGAGTTGCAGACGATCACCTTTTACCATTTGGCTCATAATAAGGAAGAGGGTACTTATCACCGTAATGAGAAATGCCTGGATTCCTCAGCCCTGGGAAAGGCGTGCCTCTCCTCTTAATTCCTGAGTATTCAGGAATCAATAAGGACCAGAGGGTTCCTGACAGATCCAAAACAGCACACAGGAGGCCTCTTGTTAAATGCTTCCTGACGCTTGTTAATTCTTTTTCCAGGTCTCATATTATCTCTTCATTCTCGTCTGTATATTCTACTTTTTTTAATCTCTCCATACTTAGCTCAATATTTTCTTCTGCTCTGTCTTCCATTCCCATAATTCTCACTTACATTGTATCTAATTGATATATTGAACTCATTCATTAAGTTCTTAATTTCATTTATTGTGTTTTTCCTGTTTCAAAACTTCCATTTGATTATTTTATATTTTGTAGTTCTTGTTTAGGATCCTCTGTCTTGTCGTTGAAATTCTTCAATATGCTAATTATAGTTATCTTGAAATTCATATATGTCCATTATCTGAATCTATTACAGTTTGTGTCTTTGACCCTTTTCCCCCTCTTGGTTTGAGGAGTTTTGTCTTTGTTGTATGGTCAGTTATTTTTAATTTAGTTTTGGACAATGTGTGTGAAAATTATACTAATTATATTATCTTTGCTTTTGGAGGAGAGTTAGGCTATGGGTAAGTTACTTAATCCAACCAAGGATTGAGCTGATTCAAAGCTAAGCTTCAATCCTTGGAAGAATCAGTCTATTTTTGGTTCTCCTTACTCCTAGAGTATAGCTCTTTGAAGTTACAGACAAAAGCCTGAAATGTTTTCTACAGCCCTCTTCTTAGTTTTGTGAGATTGATGAAAGCTCTGTTCAGCTTCTCTGACTCCTGGTAGCAGATTTCAAATTAGCAGATGTCACCAAATGTCAGTCTTACCTCCTTGAATTGCCCACCTCTCTGTGATTTTGGTTTCTTGTTGCCTATAGCTATTCAGTGTTTTCAGATAGATGTTTATAACATTGTATTCATTTTTCCATTTGTTCTTAACAGGTGGTCTGGTTTAAGACTATTTAGTCTAGCATTGCCTTAAGCTTGGCTAATTCTTTCAAAAACTGAGCTTGTATTAAGTGAAATACAGTCCCAAAAAGACAAATATTGTGATTCCACTTAACTGAAAGTGGTCAGATTCATAGAAACAGAAATAGATGGAGAAGGAAATGGCAACCCATTCCAGTAATCTTGCCTGGAAAACCCCATGGACAGAGAAGCCTGGCAGGCTACTGTCCATGGGGTTGCAAGAGTCAGACACGATTTAGCGACTAAACCATCCACCACCACAAAGTGAATATATGCCTAGAGATAACATGTGAAAAGGATATTTGCCATATACTATCAGAGAAGGCAATGGCACCCCACTCCAGTACTCTTGCCTGGAAAATCCCATGGACGGAGGAGCCTGGTAGGCTGCAGTCCATGGGGTCCCTAAGAGTTGGACAAGACTGAGAGACTTCACTTTCACTTTTCACTTTCATGCCTTGGAGAAGGAAATGGCAACCCACTCCAATGTTCTTGCCTGGAGAATCCCCGGGACGGCGGAGCCTGGTGGGCTGCCATCTATGGCGTCGCACAGAGTCAAGACACGACTGAAGTGACTTAGTAGCAGCGGCAGCAGCTAGTTTTTTGGGGGGAGGGTGGGAGTCAAGGAAGACCTGAGGTTATTTTGTCATCAACTTCCATTTTATACTTATTTATAATGACCATTATTTTTACTAATACTATAAAACTATGAAAAATGAATAAAATACTAAAAGTTAAAAAAAAGAAAGTAGGATGGTGGTTACTAGGGGCTTTAAGTCCATCATTTACACTGTGGTTCACTCTTGGTTGTTCCATGTTCTTTATCACAATGTATATAAATATTTTAAACTGAGTTTATCAAGTAGCTTTACTTTCAGCCACGTTGGGAGTTTTTTTTTTTAGTTGATCCATGTAGAAATGAAGATATGAACCACAAGGCAGAAATTCTGTGAAGCAGTATTATATGTGTGTTTAACAAGATTTAACTCTTACGTTCAGGCTTTCTTTTTTTTTTCTGAGAAAGAAGTGCCAACCCACTCCAGTATTCTTGCCTGCAGAATCCCACAGATGGAGGAGCCTGGTGGGCTACAGTCCATGGGGTCTCACAGAGTTGGACATGGTTGAAGTGACTCAGCACTAGCACTTAGGCTTTTTAAAAAACAATCAAGGAGCAAAAAACAAGAATGAAGAAAAAAATAGCTATTTCAATAATGGGGAAGCAAAATAGCAGTTTAAATAGTGGGCAGTTTTTCTCAATTAGCTTGTACCCCAGAGTGAGCAGTAGAGGAGACCTCTGAGTTTGCTGTTTTTTCACCTATGTTAAATTTACTAGAGGTGATTCTTTCTTGAGGAATTTTCAAGAATAATTGTGATTATATACAATTTTTGCTTTACCTGCTGACTTTAGAACCCACTTCTATTTAAGCTTTAGCCCCAGCATAAAGAAAAGTAAATAACATTCCTTTTATTTCTCATTGGCATTGTTCATTGTGCTATAGTCTAAATTTTACTTTTATGTTTTTCTATCTTTTGTGGATGACACTACCTTTTTAAAGTCTTTGACCTCTAGCACAAGTTTAGCCTTTCTGTATTGTTTTTGAACATGCATACTATATCTAGCGTATTTTTCCTTCAGTATACCACAGTCTAAGATGCAGAATAACTTTCAAAGCTGCCATCTTATGTCATCAATCAAATATTTCTTGTTAGTCAGAAATAAATCCAGGCTAACAGTAAATCTTTCTCATTATAACTACATCTTTCTTTGCTCTCAGTTTTATAATGAATGTTAGGACAATGTTGCAATCTTTTTTTTTTTTTTTTTTTTTTGCCTGATAAGATGGTCTGCACTGTATATAACAGTATCATATACACCTACTTGTATCTCTGACCCTTCTAAAGTTACTGACAAGCAATAAATTAAAAATAGCAAGTAGGAACATAAGAGGCAGAGGAAAGGGAAATTTATCATCCTATGAAAGCAAATCAGATCTCCAAGAAATTAAAAACAATTGAAAGAGTCTCTTTTACATCCAAATCTGTACTGTTTCACAGTTAGAACAAAACATCCCAAAAGTTTGAAAAGCACAGAATTCAATACATTGATTACAGTTATTACCTCTAGCTTATATAATTTTATATAGACGTAGCTTTGCAGTTGAGAGGGATACTATAGCAAGTATATATTGTCATAATGGATATAGGAAGTGGCTGTTTCCTAGAGTAAAATACAAATGCTGCCAAGTAATAAAACTTAACCATTTGACACTTAAAACTAGAGAGAACCTCACAGAGGTCAATATGTGATACTTGGCCAGACGTATAATATTATAACTTAATTCTGGAACCTCAAGTCACATACCTTAAGGTTCCAGAATTGAAAATTTAAAAGTTCCAGAATTAAGCAGGCTCTCCAGTAAAAGAATAGTATGAGATACTAAGAAACAGCATCAGCATGTTTTAAGTGAGTCATGTCAGAGAAGAAAATTAATTTCATTGTACTTTCTTTGTTGTTAAATTAATGTATTTTTAATATGCCTTTTGTTGAACACACCATACTAGGTTCTCCCCTAGCGCAGTTGATAAACAGTTAAAGGTTGTCTTAGTTCTGTGTCTACACTGACTTGATTTACATTCTTTGCCTCCTTTGCCTAGCTGATGGGGCTCTTTGCTGTTCAAGACTTAGCCCTGACTCTTCTCCATTCTCATTGAAACTTGTGTGTTATAACCTGTTCCTTGGTGGCCTCCCTGTGCGTTCTAAATGTCTAATGAGAAATTCTTTTTAAAATTAATCTGGGCTTGAGACTTTGCTTGTGGTCCAGTGGTTAAGAATCTACCTGCCAATGCAGGGGACCAGGTTTGGTCCCTGGTCTGGGAAGATCCCACATGCTACGAGGCAACTAAGCCTGTGCACCACAACTCCTGAGCCAGAGCTCTGGAGCCCATGAGCTGCAACTATTGAAGCCTGTGAGCCCTAGAACCGGTGTTCTGCAACGGAAGCCCCCATGAGAAACTTGAGCACCACAACTAGAGAGTAGCCCCTGCTCGCCACATCTTAGAGAAAGCCCATGTGCAGCAACAAAGACCCAGTGCAGCCAGAAAGAAATAAATTTTAAAAAATTAATAAATAAGTAAAATAAAGTTGATCTGGACTAGTCATGGAAGAAAGCAGCCGTGAGGCAACATGCTTTGTTTGTTGTTGTTGAAACTGCCTTTTTACTATGTTTAAAATATAATCCAGAGCTTTGCCTGTAGCTTGCAGGCCCCTCATAATCTGGCTGTGCTTTGCCTCAGCTCTACCAGCAACATGCTTTTTAAGCAGTGACTGTCTAACAGTGTATTTCTCCTGCCCTTGCCTTCCTTTTCTCCCCATTCCCACCTTTTAAAAGTTCTGCTAATGATTCCAGCATGAAAATTTCAGGTTGGAAAGGTAGAAATATAATAAGGAAATCTGGGGAGAGTGGTAATGTCCATGAAGCATCCTTTATATGGTATCTTACTGCTGACGGTCTAGCTGATCCATGTGTTGTAAGGTCTTTACAAATGTAGGAAGGAAGGATCCTCAGTGTTGATGGAACCTAGATTTTCAGATTTGTTGTTAATAACAATGTCTTCCTTTCTATATTATGTCCTCCCGTTATAGGTGTTTATCCATCACTGTTAGAACTATCAGTCTTTTGCACAGACTACGACAAATACTTTGCCCTTCACCATCTTCCTTGTATGTTTACTTTGTATTAAATATCTTTTTTTTTTCATTCCCCAGGCTGCCAGTACACCACTGAATCCTTTAAGTTTTCAGTGTGAATTTGTAAAGCTCAGGATTGACCTTCTACAAGCCTTCTCTCAACTTATCTGTACTTGTAATAGCCTCAAGACGAGCCCCCCACCTGCAATCGCCACAACAATTGCCATGACCTTAGGGAATGACCTTCAGCGGTGTGGTCGCATCTCCAATCAGGCATGCCTTAACTTTATTTTCAGTGCAGTTTTTATTTACACTTTAGAGGTTTTTGAGGTTAGTTGTGAGATAAAAAAAATTCTGAAATTTAGAAATCAGTGGTTTGACTTATCAGCAACAGCAAATGCTTCTAAACTCATCTACCTTGCAAAACATAAGCTATGAAAGCTTATTAAAATGACAAAATGATTGATGATACCTCACTCCATGCTATATATTGATATAAAGAGAAAGAACATACATTTTAAAGAAACTTTGGGATGTTCATAGCTATTATTTATTTCAGTAGAACTTTGAAGAAGCTAAAAATGCAGTGGTTTTTGTTTCTATACATGGTATGTAAATTATTATAATCTTATGCCCGTTTGTAGTTTCATTTGCCACCTTTGTTAATTCTCAACAGTTTATAAAACTGAGTGAATTGAAAATGAAAAAGAGTTAAAGTATTTTTTGCATTTTTTAACTGTTTGAGGATTTTTTTCTTAGGTTTCGGTTTTTGTGTTATTTACACAATGATAGCATGTTTGTTTATTTACCATAATTGATACTTTTCCTTCTTTATAGATGAAGCTGTCCATGGAAGAATTCCGAAGCCTTGCTTCCCGATATGGGGATCTTTATCAGGCATCTTTTGATGCTGATTCGGCAACTTTGAGGAACGTAGAACTGTATCCTAAACTTGCCTGATATTTCTTGTTCATCGGAAGTATTCTTTTATTTTTTTTGGAAGTATTCTTTTAAATGTAGAGTAAATACTTCAGATATGCTTAACTAAAATATATGTTAGATAACCCTACAGATTTACTATGTGAAAGTCACTTAGTCATGTCCAACTCTTTGCAACCCCGTGGACTGTATAGTCCGTGGAATTCTCCAGGCCAGAATACTGGAGTGGGTGGCTGTTCCCTTCTCCAGGGGATCTTCCCAACCCAGGGATCGAACCCAGGTCTCCCGCATTGCAGGCGGATTTTACTAGTTGAGCCACCAGGGAAGCCCACAGATTTACTGTAAGTAATGACTTTTTAAAATCCAGTATGAGCAGTATAATTATACTTTTCTTTTTCAACCAAGCTTTTCAAAAGGTGGTGACTCAATGGTGGGTGGTCTTTCTCCCTCTTGAGAAGAGCATCCAAAACCGAAGTCTGATCATTGTTGAGGTCTTTGTGCTCACTTGAGTTACAAAACATTTTTCCACCAGAGAGCCATTTTCACTCTTGCCTCACCTTCTTTTCTTCACAGTTAACAACCCTAGATTCCATCACCTTACGACATATTCAGTTGTTTCAGTCATCACTTTTGTTCCCTAAGCCATCTTTAGTGCTCCATATTTTTTTATTAGCAGCCTCAGATCCTTTTTGAAAAGAGGAAAAAGATAAATTGCTTTTTAGTTGTAGGACCTATAAATCAATAATTTCTGGCAATTTGGCTTACCTGATGGAAAACCTAATGAATGCTATGGACTCTCTCCCCTAAAAAATGCATATATGCACAACCCCCCCCCCCCAAAGTTTGCATACCATTTCAGGAGGGTTAACAGATCCCTTGAGCCCCCAGTCTAGGAATCTCCAGGGTAACCACTATGCAGACCCTTATTGTGGTGGTGGTTTTTAACTTTTATCAGTGAAACACCTATAACTAAGATAAAGCTTTTGTGAGTGAATCACAGAGCCTGTTGCTTGGGTTCCTCTTTGCAACATGAACCTCTGAAGCATCCTTCCTGGGGCTAGTACAGACAACATATATCCCTTAAAAGGAAAAAATCAAAACTGCCCCAGACTATTTGATTTAGTAACATAGTTACTTCACCAAGACTATGGTGATTTTCATCTTGCCTTGTTTAATATTGAAATGTAAAGTCTGTAGTACATTTCTCTATTTTGTACAACATATAACTTTAACATAATTCAGACAGCAGCAGAGCTGTTTACTGATATCTCATGCAATTGAAGCCCTCATTTTGGACCCAGAATCAGCAAGGTATTGTTTGTTTTTTTTTAAGGCTTTCATTTTTAAAAAAATGTTTACAATTTATTTGGCCTTCAGTCCTTCATTGTAGCGTGCAGTATCTTTGTTGCATCCTGTGGGATCTTTTGTTGTGGTGCCCGGACTCTGGTTGTGGCATGCAGGCGCAGTAATTGTGGCCCTTGGGCGTCTCTCGCTGTGGCGCGCAGACTCTGGAGCTCACAGGCTCAGTAGCTGTGATGTGCAGGCTGAGTTGCTCTGTGGCATGTGGGCTCTTAGTTCCCCAGCCAGGGATCGAACCCATGTCCTCTGCTTCTCAGAATATTATCAACAAAGCATTCTATTTTTTAAATTATTATTTTTTTATGAAAGGATGTCTATTATAATACTCATCTATTTATCTTTCAAACTTTAACTTTTTATTTTGTATTGGGGTATAGCCAGTGAACAATGTGGTGCTTGGGTGAACAGTGAAGGGACTCAGCTATACATACACATGTATCCATTCTCCCCCAAACCCGCTTCCATTCAGGCTGGCACGTAACACTGAGTGGAATTCCATGTGCTATGCAATAGGTCTTTGTTGGTTATCCGTTTTGAAGACAGCAGTGTGTACATGACCTTCCCAAGCTCCCTAACTATGCCTTCCCAGCCCCTCCCCCGGCAGCCATAAGTTTGTTTTCTAAGTCTGTGAGTCTCTTTCTGTTTTGTAAGTTCATTTGTATCATTTCTTTTTAGATTCCACATATAAGGGATGTCATACGATAATTCTCCTCTGCCTGACTCATTTCACTCTGTGTGACACTCTTCAGGTCCACCATGTTGCTGCACATGGCATGATTTCATTCTGTTTAATGGCTGAGTAGTATTCCATTGTATACATGTACCGCATCTTTATCCAGTCCTCTGTCAATAGACATTTAGATTGTTTCCATGTCTTGGCTGTTTAAACAAAGCATTTTAAATTTCTCTATCCTAAAGCACTGACTTAACCATTTTTTTTCCTAGGCAGCATCAGAATCTTGGCCTTCTGTTTTGAAGTCTGTCTACTCTCAGACTAAGCCACTTGGCTGTTTTTTTCCCACTTATCTGATCCATTCCAAACTTTCTAGAATACTGCGTGAGAGAAAATCTCCATGACCTTGAGGTCAGCAAGGGCACAAACAGCAGTTACCATCGAGAAAAATTTGTTTAATTGGATTTAAAAATTTAAACTTCTGCTCTTTGAAAGATGCCATTAAGAGAATGAAAAGATAGGTTGCAGGGTGAAAATACTCTCACACATACTCTGTCAAAGTTCTTGTGTTCAGAATATTAAGGAAACCATACAACTCAAGATAACCCAGTTTTTAAGAATTGACAAGCTGCTTCTTTCTTAGATTTTATTTATTATTCACCTGTGCTGGGTCCTCGGTGCTGCTCAGGCTTTTCTCCAGCTGAGTCAAGCAGGGCTCCTCGCTAGCTGGGGGGTGCGGGCTTCTCGAGGAGGCTTATCTTGTTGCAGAGCACAGGCTGTAGGGTGCTCGGGCTTCAGCAGTTGCAGCTCCTGGGCTCTAGAGCACAGGCTCAGCAACTGTGCGGCATGGGCTTGGTTGCTCCACGGCCTCTGGAATCTTCCTGGATCAGGGATCAAAGCTGTATCTCCTGCATTGGCAGGTGGATACTTTACCCCTGGGCCACCAGAGAAGCCCTTGACAAGAGACTTGAAGAGACACTTCAAAACAGAAGACATATTAATGTCCAATCAGCACATGAAAAGATGCTTAGTATCATTAAATACCAGGAAAATGCAAATTAAAATCACAGCGAGGTAAACTAACACCCACTAGAAAGAATAGCTAAAGTTAGAAAGCCCTACAATGCCAAGTATTAATTACTTGTGGAAGAGCTTGAATTCATATAGTTGGGACTACAAAATGATTCAGCCACTTTGAAAACTGTTTGGCAGTTACCATATGACCACCAGTTCCATGCCTGCTTGCTTACTCAGGAGAAATAAAAACATATTTTTACAGAGACCTATACACAAATTTTCTTAGCAGCTTTATTTATAACAACAAAAATTGGAAGGAGCCAAATATGTCAACAGACAAGTGAGCAAATAAATTGTAGTATATCCATACAGTGGAATATTCAGTCTGTTCAGTTGCTCAGTCATATCCGACTCTTTGCAACCCCATGGACTGCAGCACTCCAGGCCTCCCTGTCCATCACCAACTCCCAGAGCTTGCTCAGACTCATGTCCATTGAGTTGGTGATGCCTTCCAACCATCTCATCCTCTGTCATCCCTTTCTCCTCCTGCCTTCAATCTTTCCCAGCATCAGGGTGTTGTCCAGTGAGTCAGTTCTTCACATCAGGTGGCCAAAGTATTGGAGCTTCAGCTTCAGCATCAGTCCTTCCAAGGAACTTTCAGTACTGATTTCCTTAAGGATTGACTGGTTTGATCTCCTTGCAGTCCAAGGGACTCTCAAGAGTCTTTTCCAACACTGCAGTTCAAAAGCATCAGTTCTTTGGCAGGCAGTTTCTTTATGGCCCAACTAACATATCCATACATGACCACTAGAAAAACCATAGCTTTGACTAGACGGACCTTTGTCAGCAAAGTAATGTCTCTAATTTTTAATATGCTGTCTAGGTTGGTCATAACTTTCCTTCCAAGGAGCAAGCGTCTTTTAATTTCATGGCTGCAGTCACCATCTGCAGTGGTTGCTGGGGGCCAAAAGTAGGGATTTGACTAAGAAGGGTGCGTTTTTATGATTTGGTAACATATCTCAGTAAAATTTATTTTTAAGTAAAGGAATACTCCTTTTGTAGAAGATGGAAAAATGTATTCTGGTTGTATACCCTTTTATTAGGTCACTTTGTCAAAGACTTTAAAATCTTCGTGCTTTATTGTGTGGTATAGTTTTCCGTAAAGTCCATCATATAAATGAGGTTTGGTTCTTGTCTTAATGCAACTTAAGATGTAGTACAGAGTAAGGAACAAAGCTTAGGAGCCAACTAGATGCTCATGTGCTTACAGCTAGGAGTGAGTAAATCCCTTATCACTTACTCCTAGCTGTATGAATATAGACATGTAATTTCATCTCCCTGAGCCTCTTATGCATAAACTATAGGTAAGTAATGATACCTGTCTCTTAAGAGTAGTTATGTCGGTTAAATGAAAACCTTTATGAAAGTACCTAGCTGAAGTACCTTGTGCATAGTAGGCATTAAAAGAATAATAAGGGAGTGATAAGAATAGTATTAACTCAACATAGTTAAGTTATCTATATTGCATTTTCCAATAGCCCTATTGAAGTTTAGTTGGAATGCAGTTTTGCCACCTCTTTCCATTTAGAAATACTTCCAAAAATATCTTTGGATTTGAGGCAGTAGTGGGAAAATTGAAGAAATCTGAGTAAAACGTTTTCCAGCATGTTCCATCTGGTAGCTCTCTGCTGACCATTGTGCATTTCACCTGCTTGCTTTGGATTCATGCCATTTTCCCAGCTGTGAATGCCCTCCATACTTTTCATCTCTTCAGATCTTATCCTTGCTACTTGTGTAGTGATTTGTCCAGGACTGATATCTTCTATGACATTTCTCAACTCCTTCTATAACCTGATGACTTGCATATCTTTATTGGTTATTTGGCCCTTGTCTGTTGGCTTTATTGATAGTTACCTTTTCAGATGTCTTATGTCTCTTTCACCTCATGGCAGGAACAATTTTTAACTAAACATTTTTCATCTAGCTAACAACCAAAGTGATTAAGACTTGTATAATTTGAAATCAGGTCTGGATTTGCATTCCAGCTTGTCACTTAATGTGACTGAAGGCAAATTACTTAATGTCTCCAAGCTTCAGTTTTCTCATCTGTGAAATGGAAGTAACAGTGTCTACTTTGTTATTTTAAAGATTAAATGAGAGTGTGTAGAAAGTACCTGACACATTTTGACATTAAATTACTGTTTTGGTTGAATAATTGATCCTAATTTTTTACTTCAGTTTCCAGGAATATGGGTCTACAGGAGCAGCCCATGCTGATAGTGAATATGAGAGAAGAATGATGTCTGTATATAATCATGTCTTGGAGGAGGTGGAATCACTCAATCGGAAATATACCCCTGTTTCTTACATGGCAAGTCGCATTTGTTTTATTGCGGTTTATTGTGCGGAAGTGAGTTTTGTCTGTCTCTGGCACTGACTGTGTTGACTTCAGCATATCAACCTCCCTGTGCCTGTTCGGTAACAGGGTTAGCACAGTGCTGCGCCGTGGTGGTTGTGAAGGTGAAATGGTAGTCCATGAAAGCCGCTACTTAACACCGCTGTGGTGGCTGCGTAGTCACACTAGCATGTCAAATCTGCTTGACCAGAATGCTGATAAAACCATTTTTCCCCTTTTTTAAACTGTTCAACTGAGATTTCAATTGTTCTCAATCTTGGGTACACTCCAGAATCACTTTGGAAGCTTTTTTAAAAATACATCAATATCCAGGCCCCACCACAAACCAGTTATCTTTGAATCTCTGCGACGCCCAGACATTAGTATTTTTAAAAGCTCCCAGATGATTCTGTCACTACACGAGGGTTAAAAACCACTGGCCAATTCAAACAGAAAGAACTGGGCTTATTGTCTGACTGTCAGTAAATCGGTTCCTGCCAGGCGACGCCAGTGCTGTCCTTCATTTTACCTGGCCATCTTAGTATACCTGTGCGCTTAGCCTGCTGAGCCTGGGGCCTTCGGTTCTGTTGAGCACCTGCTCTTTATCCCCTGACTTTCCAGCCGCAGAAGACACTCGACCCTCCCACCCTGATTTCCTCCTCCCTGTCTGGCCATTTCTCCAGTGTCATATTCAACTCAGGTTCCTATAAAAAAAAAAAATAGACATAGTAACTTAAGCAAGAGCCATTCTCTCACAGTTCTGGAGGCTGAGAAGTCCAGAATCAGGGTGCCAACCAGCTTGTTAAGTGGTAGGGCTCTCTTGCTAGTCTCCCAGCTGCTTTCTCACTGTGTCCTCAGGAATTGGAGGGAGAGGAAGCTCTGATCTCTTTTTCTCCTCTCCCATCACAGGGCCCCACCCTCATGTCCTCATCGAAACTTAATGACCTCCCAAAGGCCCACCTCCAAATATCAACACATTGGGAGTTAGGGCTTCAGCATGCGGGTCTGGACTCAACAGCACACTCAGTCCGTAGCACCGTCTTTGAACTTGACACCTTGAAGGGTGTCCCTTGCCCCACACACTGGATGCTGATATTCCCTGTAGCTCTCTTGTGTCTCCTGCTCTCCTCATTCTGAATTCATCATTTATCAAGTGTTTTAGATGAAATTATAGGATGTGTCATTAAAGAGTCAGATTAGATATCAAGGTTAGATACTTTCCTTTACACACTGCTTTCCACGTTAGATTGTCAGTAGTACTTGCTGAATTGAAATGACATAGTTAGCTGTTTGATACTGAAATTGGTTGCTAAGGAAGGTTGTAAAGATTATCTTTAGGAAATAGACATATTTATGTGAGATGTTGGTTAAAATACTTTTGTATTTCCACTAAGCTCCACCCTAAGAAGTTAAATAAATGCCAAACAGTAACTTGAGTTTGATACATTTGAATCCACTGAATATAATGGAAGAAATGGGAATTTTCTGCTCAGTCGGTATGCAATATAAGAGGAGACCCCTCTTGACCCCATCAGCAGGTCATGATTTGGGGCAGATTTCTAATATCCTTTTCTATGATGTGGAAAAATATCTACCTCATAGAGTTTTGTGAAGTTTAAGTGAGATCATGACTAATGCCTAGCACATTGTCTTGCCCGGCATAAAAGGAGTGGTTACTAAATCTTGATTCCCTTTCCAAATTGTGTTTTATAGGTTTGGTACTTTCTGAACCCAAAATTCAATTCAACAAGTGTTTATTGAATCCTAGGAATAGAAAAATGACAAAGAGGATCGTCCCTCAAGTTGTCCATAGTCTGATAAGAAAGAAAGATTCTGTAAGCAAATACAGTTCATGTGCAGTGATAGAGCTCTGTGCAAAGTAGAGTTGTAGCACAGAAAAGAAAGTAATTCACGTTGAAGGATGGGGAAAACAGGTGAGGGTGTGAGTCAGAGAGAAGATGTACTTGCATGAAGGTTTTCCAGACAGACAAGGAAGTGTAGAGAATTCGAGGCAGAAAACGATATGTTCTAAAGCAGAGGCAGAAAATAGCATGATATCTCCTGGGAACAGAGTGTTACTGCTACAGTATAATGTCCAGGCTTGGGACTAGAGAGGTGGCCAGAGACCAGATGACAAAAGGCTTTGAACACAGTCTTAAGGAGTTTGGACCTTATCCCATAGGCAGTAGGGGCACTCTTTAGGAATTTTAAATGGGGGTGGAAGAGAAGTGGTTAAGCTAAGATTGTACATTATGGCTCTATAGAAACAGAACAGGTCATGGCCTGGAGGGCATGAAATTAGAAGAGTGGTTACAAAACTTTTGCAGTAATCCAAGGTAAGGGCCAAACTGATAAAGTGGGAGTAAGAATGAGAAGAACAGCTACATAAAGATTATTTAGGTGTAATATTTTCAAGGCTTGGTTTTGTTTTTGTGTTTACTTTAAATCAGATGTGAGAGGATGCAGGCACAACCTCTGGGTTTCCAGCTTAGGTGACCAGGTGCACAAGTGGTCGATACTTTACTGAGACAGAATATAGAGGGACAGTGGGAGAGGTGAAGGTTTTGCTTTTAAACCTGTCAGACCTTGACAGTTGGATAATAGGTCTGGTGTCAGAAGGAGATAGACTGTGATGCATGGAAGTTGTCGTGACCTAGAGATTCTTCATGTCCTGGGAGTGAAGAAAATTGCCTGTGAAGAACAAGTGGATCGAGAAGACAAAAGGACCGAGGTGTCAACACTGAAGGAGCAAGCAAAGGAAGAGAGTCTTAGGAGAAGATGGGAGAAGGGAGTGGGCAGAAAAAGCGAGGGCAGGGGCCATGAAGGGGCATTTCATGGAAGAAGACCGTTGTCAGGTGCCACAGAAATGTCAGAAAAATCCAAAGGCTAAAAAAGGATTGGGTTTGCATTGAAGAGAGTATTGGTGGTGGACTGGTCCTCCTACTAGTTTACTAACCGTGATATGTGATTATCATATCATGTGATATGAGATGTGATTTCACATCTCCAGACTGGCACGTTGATAGTTACCTGCAACTAACATACCTGTAGAGGTGGGCCCAAAGGCTATAAATCTCTGACCTTGGCAAGAGTGATTTGACAGATGTATGAGTTTCTAAGTGTTATGTCTGTTAACATGGCTGGTGTGTACTTTTGTCATAATCTTCTGAACATTTGAAGTTTTTAAACTTCTTCCTGAAAGTAACTATTTGTTGATGAAATTTGGAAATTTATTTTCACTTCATTTTTCTTTTTTTTCCCCCCAGCATACAGCATGCCTCTGCAATGCCATCATTTCTTTGCTGAAAGTTCCTCTTTCATTTCAGAGATATTTTTTCCAGAAACTTCAGTCTACCAGCATCAAGGTAATATAGGAAGAACACTCAGGTTTAATGTAGCTTCATACCTTCTTCTGAAGATTACAGGGGGCAGAGCTCTGTTTCAGGATCTTACCTTTGGTTTAGATGAAACTTACACTCTTCAGTTGTAAGCCTTTCCTTCGTCAACTGATTTAAGAGTTAAACCTCTTCTCCTTTCTTACCTGACAGCACCCAATACAGTGTGACAGGCTTTGGGTACTTGGAGTTCTAACCTGCCTTCAAGAATAATTTGAGTGGTATTCATCATAGTAGCGCACAAGGATCTTGAGCTGAATCCATGTCTAATCAGCCTGTTCAGACCCAACTTAGAATGAATCAGGTCCAGTGAAACATTACCAGCCCTACCTCCAGAGCACTTTTGTCTGTGAATAACAAGTTTTGAGGAGCTAGTCAGTGAGTAGAGTTAGTATTTTAAAGTATTTAAGCCACTCAACATTCAAAAGCTGTTTTGATTCAAAGGATAAAATTGTTGGGAAAGAGGGGAATTGTCGCTTCTAAGAGATTCCCTGGATTATCTGTATCAGTAAACGTCTTCAGTGCACTTCTGCATCTGTTTGAATGTTTTTGACTGTAGCTGATAGAGCATTCCATTTCAGAATGACATAAGGAATGAATAATAAGGAAATTTTGATTATCTAGATAAGAAGTCCTAAAGGCACCATGTCTCCAGGGTTAATTAGTTTAGTGGCTCAACAACATTATCAAAAAGACCCAATTTCTTCCCTCAGTTTATTTAAGTAAAATTTGAGCTTTCTGTAATTAAAGTGTATTTAAGATTCTTAATATGTTTTTGAAAGAAAAACTAGTGAGGTTAAAAATGTCTTTGGCTTAAAAAAAGTTTCATTGGCTTTTTTTTATGGAAATTGACTTTTATACCATGGTGACTTGGTGGTGTATGTAAACCTAGAATTTTGGAGTCATTTGCATTTGAATTTAGTCTATTTAAAAGTACCTAAGGCCAAAGAGACAGCAGCTGGACATGAAAATTTCCATAGTGCATTTCCCTGCTGGAGTTGGTTCATTGTCAAAGAAGTGCCCCACCTCAGAAATTGGGAGAGAAGGGCCCTTACTGTTCTGTAATCCTCTGTTCCCCTCTCTTGGGGGTAAATTCAAGTAAACAAACAAACAAAAATGGGTATTTTAAAAGAGGCACTGGGGCGCTTTGGCTGCATAGCTCAGGGGTTAGAGCACTGGTCTTGTAAAAGAGGCACTGGGGATAAGGAGCTGTAGACTTTAAAGGCACGCATATCTGGTTGTCCCCGCAGTCAGGTCATTAACGGGGGATGTGTGTCTCTGTGTGCACCTACCGTTTTAATCTGTGATCAGCAAATAGCACAGGCGTGTTTGTTGGAAGGAAGCCTGCTTTCGGTTGTGAGCGTTCATTTTGGTGTTGGTTTTCCAGCTTGCCCTATCACCATCCCCCCGGAACCCTGCAGAGCCCATCGCAGTCCAGAATAACCAGCAGCTGGCGCTGAAGGTGGAGGGGGTGGTCCAGCACGGGTCTAAACCGGGACTGTTCCGCAGAATTCAGTCCGTCTGTCTGAACGTGTCCTCCATGCTGCAGAGTAAATCCGGACAGGACTACAAGGTAATGTAGAAAAGAGGCAGAGTTGTGACGCGGGTTTTGTCAGCTCACTGATGGACATTTTCCATGGCTAAGCAGATAGTACTTACACCTCGCAAAGGGCACAGATGGACATAAGTTAAAAGCACGTATTGCGGCGTGAGGGTGCTGATAGCAACACTTCTCTTTTCCCTGCTTGAGCCGGTTGACAGACAAAGCATCCAGGCAGTGGAGTGTCACCCCTGTCAGCGCTGGGGGAAGCTAGCTCAGGTTCCTGGCAGCAAGGACTGCCTAGCTTTGTAGCTCTGAATTGAGTTCTCCCACCAGCCTCCACCAGTACACACAAGAGCCTGCCCCTGTCAAACTGGGAGGAGCAGTACCCTGCAGCCCAAAGGAGAAGGGAGGAAGAAGGTGCTCAGCACCCCAAGTCCAGCCCCCACCCCACAACCTACCAATCAGTAGGATTCACCTTCTCCCCTAGAGACAGGTACTGTTCATCTAATGAAAGGTCCCTCCACATGGAGGGAAGCATCAGGAGTGGGGAATAACTTCTCCTTAACCCTCTGACCCCAATAGAATACATCTGTTTATTTTTCCTTTAAGAAAATTTTAGCATGTTAAAAAAAAAAAATCTACTATATTGATATGCAATGATCAGATGAAGTAAAACCTCTTGTTAAGGATTTAGACCTAGGAATGTGCTGCTTTGAGAAATCATGAGGTAGATTAGCCAAAATCATGCTTACTTTGTTAGTCAAAGCTAAGATTCTGAATCTGTGTCCATGAGACACCAACGTTCCAAATGTAAAATGTTCTGTCTTTATAGACATCTCTTTCCAGTTGCTTGGAGATTTATTCATCATAAATGGAACACGGGAACAAGTGCGGAGTTGTTTAAAGGCCCAAATTGGTGATGTCTAGGTTTACTTGTCGGCATCCGTGAACTGAGGTCCAGAGCGAGGAAAATGGGGTATCAGTAAAGATATAAAATGAGAACACTTTATTCCCTTTGGTGGTTTCAGGCTAAACAGCCACGGGAAGGTCTGGTGTAAGCCATCGCTGCTTTCCTTACTTCGGTGACTCTCTCTTTTCGGGGGCTCTGTGCCCACCCTGAGAAGGCTCCGTCTTCATTCCCTCCCTCTCTTTTGACTTGCATGGCATAAAACATGGCACCTTATGTGGCCACTCAGTAGATATGTGGTGAGTAAGGAAAAAATCATTTATTGTGTTTTTAGTACAATTTTCTTATGTTGCAGTGATCTCTGTTGTCACTCACAGAAGATCATAACGAGAACTTTCATATTTATCTTATCCCTGTCTGCAGCTCTATGCTCATTTTGAGTTTGAAAGAACAGTGGTAATTTCTGTTTTTAGAAAAACATATATTTAAATCGAGGTGTCTCTTCATTGTTGACTTTCCTCTCAAGAGACATTGCTGAAAGTCAAGAAGCTGATATTAACAATCCAGGTGGTACATGATTGCTTTGTAATGTTACTTGTAGTGAGTTTGCAGCTTAAAAATGCATCATCCATTTAGAGGGATCAGGTTGCCTCCTAGGCCTATTTCTGGTCCTTTTAAGGAAGTTCTTGTTTGGTGGGCATATTCTTTAGGGAAATAAACATCTTACAGAATTTGAATGTGCAAATAAAAAACAAAAAAGGACTTACAGATAACTCTTAAGATCTTGAATTGGTTGGCAACTTCATTTCATTAATGTAACATCAGTGTCTTTGGAAAACTGATCTCATAATAACTGCCTACAGAGACCCAAAGCTTCAGGGCACATTTATATAATTAATCATACAACAGAAACACACAGAAACATAGAGCAATCAGTTCAAATATTCATTCTGATTACCTCCATATGCATTCTTAGATTTAGTGTCACTCTTGACATACTTCATCTTGGGTACAGATAAGCGTACATCCACAGGTGGTGTTCTGTTCTGTGAAGGACAGAGATTTGAATATCTAGCTAAATGAGTGGACCAATGTGTTCATAATTCAATAATCAATGTGTTTCATAATATATCATACTGACAGTCTGAACAAGACACTGATTTGTTGGGACTTCCCTGGGAGTCCAGTGGTTAAGAGTTCACCTTCTAAAGCAGGGGGCGCAGGTTCGATCCCTAGTCAGGGAGCTAAGATCTCACATATCTTAGGGCCAAAAAACCGAAACATGAAACAGAAGCAATATTGTAACAAATTAAAGACTTTAAAAATGGTCCACACCCCCCCAAAAAAAAATTTTTTTTGGAAAAAAAACAGTCAATTTGTTAAAGGAGGAAAGAATCACTACCAGCTAGGATTCGGGGGAAAACTATATATTTACTCAGCATTATGTTGTTCTCCTGTCTTCTAGATTTTAAACTCCCTGAAACAGATGGCTGCATCCTCTTTCTTTAGACTATCTCTTCACAGGGTAAAGAAAGATGGAAATTGGGTTGGGGTTAATCTAGCACGTGTATGGGGAAGAGACCTTTCTCTTTTACCTTCAGGGTCTCCAGGTGGGCCTAAGATTGAACTGACATGAAGGCAGATTAACAGGAGAAAAGCATGCCAGTTTTATTAGCATTTTACACATATATGGAAGTCTTCACAGAAGAATAAAGACCCAAAGAAGTGACCAGGAAAGAAAACTTAAATGCCTTTCATTAGACACAGAAACAGTATATTTTTGACAAAATGACAAAATAGAGGGGTTTGGGGCTAGAGACAGTAAGTTAAGGAGACTGTAAAGCTAGGAGATTTCTTGGGATGGTGCAGGGAGGCCAGTGGAAGGTGAGGGTTCTCTTCAGAGGTTGGTTTGCACAGCTCCGCTTCAGTGTCGATTCCCAGGCTCTGGTGCTAAGGATCGTCTTCTGTTCCTCGTTCAGGGAGGTTACCTTTCTCATGGAGAATTTGATTTGTGTTTTAGGTTAAAAAAAGAAGTGTGTGGGGCAGGTCAGAAAGCCCTTTCTGTATCTGTTGTTTTTCTAGTGCCCTTAACTCTGCCTCAGCAGCCTACTTGGGGTGGCATGTTCTGAACTCCTTCACAAAACAGACAGGCCAGTGTTAGAAGGTAGGTAGAGGCAGCTCCGCCTACTCAAGGACAGTGAGGAGGCCCCGGAGTCACCCTGCTTGGGTTCAGCTGCCAGCTGCCCCACTCATTAGCTGCGTGACCTTGGAGAAGTTACTCAACCTCCCTGCCTCAGTTTCCTTGTTCAAGAAGCAAGGATAGTTTTAGTACCTGCCTCTTGGTTGTTTGCAAGGACTAAACAGTACTCTCTTATCACAAGGCTGGCTCACAGCATGCCCCTCTGTAATATCAACTCTTGCTGTCATTTAACGTTTCTGTCATTCCAGATCCCCATTGACAATATGACCAATGAGATGGAGCAGAGAGTTGAGCCTCATAACGATTACTTCAGTACTCAATTTCTGTTGAACTTCGCCATCCTTGGTACGCACAACATTACGGTGGAGTCTTCGGTGAAAGACGCCAACGGTATCGTGTGGAAGACTGGCCCCCGAACTACCATATTTGTGAAATCCCTGGAGGACCCTTACTCCCAGCAGATCCGCCTGCAGCAGCAGCAGACCCAGCAGCCGCTCCAACAGCAGCAGCAGCGAAACGCCTACACGCGGTTTTAGCCATGCAGCCGGCGCACTGCAGACTTCCCAGGGACGGGTCCGTTGGGCGAAGACAGCTTGCTTTTTCTTACGGATTAAGATACAGATGTTAGAATGCGGAATCCATTTATTCATTGGTTTCTGTAATGTGTCATTCTGGGGGAAAAAACCTTTTTTTTTCTTAAAAATTTAGTTTGAGAAATAATTGGGGTCCTAACCAGAAAGATTTTTTTTTTTCCTGACTTCTTCTTCCACCAAGCCCTTCATCTCATCTTTAAGACTTTTGTTGTTTTGCTATTATTGCTTTTATTGTGGCTGAGCCTTTTCTTTTTCTTTCAGGAAAAGTCACATGTTGGAATCATTGAATTAGTAAATTTGATTGCTTTTCTACCAAAATACATCATTTGCTGCCTGACATAGACCTCTAATTCTGAGCTGGGCCTTGGGAAATCCTAGTTCTGATCAGTAGGTGCTGGGTTTACCCAGGGTATAGAAACAGAGTCCTCCCATAGTTGGTTGGAGTTGAAAGTGTCCCCTGAAACATCTGGTCTTGTGGGTTCTGAGAGTGACTGGTCTGGCAGAATTGAAACATCCTGCCATATTATTTCAACTATTTACCTATCTTTTCCCCGCTAAAGCAATCTTAATTTATTGTTTTAGTATTTAATTGACCCAAACAACAGCTAACAATTACATAGAAAGATTGGAAATTAATAATTTGTTTTTCCCAATATGTGTGTGATTATATATAATACAGACTTTTTGTTTGTTTGTTTCTTAGAGTGAAAAAGTCACCCACATTTAGTATCTTAAGTTAGGAGGGCAGATCCTTTCCTTTGATTTAAGTTCTTCTTGGCAAGTTAGGTAATGCCAGACTTGATTGTCTAGAAACAGCAGTCTCTTTATAATACAACCTCAATGACTTGGAATGCTCAGGGAATAGATGTTTTCTGGTTAGGCCAGAAAACCCCTTTTTTTCTGTTTCAGTACTGGTTGAAAACCATTATAAAAGTAATAATAATAGACTTCCTTATCTGAGCACAGTGTCCTAGATGTCATTTAACTGTTCCTTCCTGACTTGGGATCATTCAGTGCTTTGGGATCATGATTTCTAGACATCAGGGATCACAAGATTGCAGACACTGCTACTGCTGATATGGGCACTTGGGCCGGAAGCTGCTCCCAAGATGAAGTGCAGGGCACATTCCTGGAAGTTTTCTTTTAAAATAAATCTCTCAATTTCTTTGCTCGTTTTGCCTTTTTCTCTTTAAAGTTGATGTTGGCTTAAAGGAGGGGTAGAGTTTATGAGACTGACGAGCTACCTACTGCACTAATGAGGCACTTGAGGGGTAGAGTTTAAAGGAAAAAAATGAATTTACAGAATGTGTGTGTATGTGTAATGTGTGGGGCGGGGCAGTGCGTGGAGCTGGTGAAACTGATTGGCAGGTAACTCGGGTCCCTCTAAGATCTCTTGGCTTCATGAGAGGTTGTCCCAGCACAGCACTTCTGCCAGTGGCCTGGGCATTGTCGTAAAATGTGTGTAAATCCACCGTGCCCAATGTGCATGATGTGCTTTAGATGCAGCCCAGATGTACACAGTGACAGGTGTGACAGCATCTCGAACGCACGCCTGGGAGGCTGGCTGGAACAGAGTGGGGGTGGGTGAAGGACCGCTCTACCAGGTGTGGTAGAGCCTGGGTTCCCCTGTGAGCTGTGAGTTAGCCCAGTGACCTGGGCGCGTCATGTCATTTCTCTATAAATTTCCTTTTCCTTGTCTGTAAAATGACTGGATTAGATGGGACCTCTTGACTCCAGTCTATAGTTGAGTTATCTAAAAGACTAAAGACCAAGAAAACGTTTCTTGAATTGGGGAAAATCTTTCTTCTTTTTTTTTTTTTTAAAGTGGCTATTTTCAGAATGAAACTTTACAGTATTAATTTCAGATTTCTGACACAGTTTTGAGGCAGGATTGTCCAGAAAAGAAGCAAATTTTTTGGGAAAAAAAAAAACACCCAAATTTTGTAAACCAATTCGCCCAATTCCTGTATTTTATGTTCTTGAAAGATAGGCTTTTGATAGCTGTAGTTATAAATGCATTGATTTGGTGCACTATAGTGTTGCTGGCACAATTGGAAAGGAATTACTAAAATAAAAACAAATCTAAGTAGTTTGGGGTGAAAAGTAACTCTGTGAAGCAAAAAAAAGAGGCTATTTTATGTCTGTTAGATACAGATTTGGGACACTTCGATTTTATGTTTGGTATAATATCTACTGCATTTTTGGCGTCAACTGTTAAACAGTTATTTGAGGTAAAAGGAAACTGTTTATAATTTCAACACTACACTAATAAATGAAAAAGAATATTCAAGGAAAGATGCAGAAAATTCTGGAAAGATAAACATGCTGGTTACAAAGTGAACATGTTCCCTGATAGGAGTAACATAGGGCACTGGCCAGCTGATCTCAGAAGGCAGGACTGATTTTTCTCAGTGTTTAGTGACTTTGCAATGTAACCTGGTGGGTAAGAGCCTAGCCTCTAGAGCCAATCCATCTAGTTCCAAATTCTCTTACCTAAATTGGTGGCCTCAGACACGCTACTCAATCTCTCAATTTCTCATCTCGGTTTCCTTATTCCCCAAATTGGGTAGCATAATAATGCTTTACGGGTTAGGTGTGAGGAGTAAGTTAGTTAATACAGAATTAGGGGGTTCCCTGGTGGTCTAGTGTTAGGATTAAATTAAGTGCTTTTACTGCAGAGATGTGGGTTCCAATACCTGGTCAGGGAACCATGCCACATGCTACATGTACCACATGGCCAAAGTACAAAAAAATATATTTTTTTAAAAATACAAAATTAACATATGTAAAGCGCTTGGTATGTGCTTCACACATAGTAAGCAGAGATACTGTTCTTCAGTTGCTCAGTCGTGTCCAACACTGTGACCCCCTGGACTGCAAAATGCCAGGCTTCCTGTTTTTCACTATCTCCCAGAGCTTGCTCAAACTCATGTCCATCAAGTTGGTGATGCCATCCAACCATCTTGTCCTCTGTCGTCCTCTTCTCTTGCCTTCAGTCTTTCTTCAGCATCAGAGTCTTTTCCAGTTAATCAGTTCTCCATATCAGGTGGCCAAAGTAGTAGAGCTTCAGATTCAGCATCAGTCCTTCCAAAGAATATTCAGAACTGATCTCCTTTAGGATGGACTGGTTGGATCTCCTTGCAGTCCAAGGGACTCTCAAGAGTCTTCTCCAACACCACAGTTCAAAAGCATCAATTCTTCAGTGCTCAGCCTTCTTTCTGGTCCAGTTCTCACATCCATACATGATTACTGGAAAAGCCATAGCTTTGACTATACAGACCTTTGTTGGCAAAGTAATGTCTCTGCTTTTTATTACGCTGTCTAGATTTGTCATAGCCTTTCTTTAGCATTTTATTTATTCCAAGTTAAAGTTACATTTTCTCTGCTAGTAAACACATTTTAAGCTATCTTCCCTCATATTCAATTCGGGTACATTGATTAAGAAAAAAATAATGTTGACCTAAACAAAATGAAATTTCTATTTACTTGTTCAGTTGCTGGGTTGCGTCTGACTCTTTGCGACCTCGTGGGCTGCAGCATGCCAGGCTTCCCTGTCCTTCACTCTCGGAGTTTGCTCAAACTCAAGTTCATTGAGTCGATGATACTACTCAACTATCTCATCCTCTCCTGCCCACTTCTCCTTTTGCATTCAGTCTTTGCCAGCACCAGGGTCTTTTCCAGTGAGCTGGCTCCTCAAACTTGGCAGCCAAAGTATTGGAGCTTTAGCTTCAGCATCTGCCCTTTCAGTGAATATTTAGGGTTGATTTCCTATAGGATTGACTGGTTTGATCTCCTTGCAGTCCAAGGGACAATCTACTGTCTTCGTCTACTACAGTGCAGTTAAGTACCATTAAAATATTTAAAGAAAGGGAATTCTCTAGCAATCCAGTGGTTAGGACTCTGTGCTTTTAGTGCCAAGGGCCTGGGTTCAATCCCTGTTTGGGGAACTAGGGTCCTATAAGCCATGCAATGAAACCCAGAAAAAGAAAAAATTTTTTACGTATTAAAAGTATATAAAGAAAACTATGAAATACTTTCCAACAATACTGATTATCTTCATTGTTGATAGCAATAGTATATAGATTATTTAGAAATTAAAGTACTGTTGTAGTCCAACTTAAACTGGGAGATCTTGTGATATGACTTTCTTGCTCAAACCAACCAAGGTAGCAGGTAATTTGCAACTGGAGGCTATCAATCTCTTTTCACACTGAAGTATAGTTCAGAGAAGAACAAACCAGCCAAATAAGATCCTCAGTGTAGGGTCCCATAGATACCAGTTTAAATTCTAAAGACTCACTTGCCATGGATCCTTGGGTAGGTTACTTGATCTTTCTCTGTTGGTATATGCCAGTAGTATATTAAGAATAAGGAGACCCTGTCACTTGGTGTACAGAGTATATACAGTGCTATCCTCCAGAACTTTCTGTGATGATGGAAGTGTGCCAAGTCTGCCCTAAACAATACAGTCCCTAGCCACATAGAGCTGATGAGTATCTAAAATAAGCCTAGAGTAACTGAATCATGTATTACTTTTAATCCAGTTAAATAGCCTCTTTTGGCCACTGCCTTTAGAATTGGACAGTGCAAGAGCAGTAAGGGAAGAAATGACCGACTCAGTGGACATGAGTTTGAGCAAGCTCCGGGAGATAGTGAAGGACAGGGAAGCCTGGGGTGCTGCAGGCCGTGGGGTCGCAAAGAGTTGGACACAACTTGAGTGACTGAAAAACAACAAGGTTTCTGGATACAGCGTCTACATTGGGATTCTTTGATGAACCAAAGCTTTTTCAAAGTGGAAGAGTATGGATGAGGAGAAAGGCATTGGGGGTTTGTGTGTTTGCTTTGCTTCTGATAACAGAACACTGTGTTGCTCAACCACCCAGCCCTGTTTTGTGTAATGTGCCCTTAAATTTAGCCTTTATCAGTCACCAACATTAAAAGTA